TTCCACTTCCACTAGGCTGCTWGGGGCCTGGTAGGATCAGGAGTGTGCATGGGTGTGAACCTCACCATGGGCAGTGCTTCCTAAGAGAGACCTGGGACAGGGAGGAGTTGAGATCAAATGTAAAAGAGAAATTCAAGTATATTGCCTGTTGGAGCCGCAGCAGGCTGAGGCCTAAGCAATCCAGACATTCTCCTCCCYGAGGGCTCTAAATCTTCCCCTGACACCTTCCAAAGAGAATCCTTTCCTCCACCTGTCTCTGAGAGTCTGGTGGCCTACCAGTGACGTTGTGGGCCTGCCTGCCTTGACAAATTGCCTGAGACTTTAGGTGAGTAAAGAACTTGGGCTGGGGGTGTGCCAGTGCTGAACACAGGAATCTCTGACCTTCCCTCTCCTCCAAAGAAGCAGACTTTTTGGTGGAGATATGGCAAGGCTGGGGTCGCTGGCATCCTCTTAAGAAGGACTGCGATTTTTGGAGCCTAAGCCCCACAATGCTAGGGGTGACCCTCATCACTCACATACCAGTTACTGTGCTGAGCTCTTGAGACTCAGATTGGTTCGTTTATATACACTTTGTTCCAAAAGAACATCTGAAGTGGCTTCTCCTCACCAGGTGCTGTGCAAGGTGCTGGTGCTGGGACAGGAGACTAATGACAATCCCAGGCTTTCCCTGAATCCCTACTGAGGAAAGCTGCCTTTGATTTATAGAAAGAACTTTCAAGATCTAATGCTGAAACTGCAACCATTCAAAATCAATGCACAGAGCTATGGCCAAAATGCCAATGGATAAAACAATTTCTAAAAATGTTCAGYTAATCCAAGAAGAAAACTGGAAAGGAAGAACAGAGGAATAGAAAACAGAACAACAAACAGTGAAATGAAGAGCTGGGGTTGTGGCTCAGCGGTAGAGCACTCACCTCGCATGTGCGAGACCCTGGGTTCGATCCTCAGCACCACATACAAAAATAAACWAGTGAAATAAAGGTGTTGTGTCCAATTACAACTAAAAAATAAATATTAAAAAAAACCAGTGAAATGAAGAACACAAATCCAACTCTCAATATTATATTATACATAAATGACTAAACTAWTAAAAAAGGTAGAGATCACCAGACTAGACAAAAGCAGGACCCAATGATACACTGTCTCTTAAGATATTAAAACACATAGAATCCAAAAGAACAGAATTTTAGTCCTTTTTAAAAAGAATTTACACTCGGGCTGCGGATGTGGCTCAAGCGGTAGTGCGCTCGCCTGGCATGCGTGCGGCCCGGGTTCGATCATCAGTACCACATACAAACAATGATGCTGTGTCCGCCGATAACTAAAAAAAAAAAAATATTAAAATTATCTCTCTCTCTCTTAAAAAAAAAAAGAATTTACACTTAAAAACAGAATTAAAAAAAATCCGAAAGAAAAATATACTTTGCAAATGGAAAGCACAAAAAGGCTGATATACTGATATTACATTAAGCAGACTTTAAGACAGAGTGACACAGGAATATTTCACAGTGATAAAAAGTCAATTCAACAGAAAGACATATGGTCATGGATCTATATGCATCCAAATCTAATCAGGATAAACTAAAGGTCTTAGCCACGGGAGGTACCTGTGTATAGGAGCTGAAGTTTGGCCCCAGCAGCTGGGATAGTACTCACTGGTCTCCACAGATATGTGTGGGAGTAACTGCTATGGAGCTCCAGGAGTGGCCTGATGGTTTTGGGAACTTCAGTATTCCGAGATAGCTATAAGTTCTGAATAAGCCACAGGCTTCAAGTTGGGAGCAAAACATGGGCTGGATCACCTTCACTGTTCTACCACAGAAAAATGGCTCTCCGGATAATTATCAGCCATTCCAAACTCCAAGGATACAATCCAGAGAAGCAGGTTTGACCCCTGCCTCTCGTTCAGCCTTGTCTCCTCTCTAAAGCCCAGCCAGGGCTCTTGTCATCCAACAAAGAACACATACTAGTTCCTCTGCGTAAATGCCCTCAAGCCCTCTTCACCTTACTCTTGCTCATGCTTCAAGGACTGCTCAACAGCTGAGAGTAGGATTTAAACAGGATGACAGCTTTGCTAAGAGGGAAGGTGAATCTTGAGGATTAAGGGAGAGATTAAATAACTGACCACAGAATTTAGGCTGAGTGGGGGAGAGGGGACTTCGAATGGGTGAGTGACAATGAAAAGATGAGTCCCATTTAAGTGAAATTATTGGGTTACAGAGGGGTGACTGGAAAGGAGGAAGACGCTGGTCAGACAGTGGGGCATGAGATAAGAATTCATTCTAGGACTGGGGCTGTAGCATGATGGTACAATGATTGCCTAGCCTGCACAAGGCCCTGGGTTTGATCCCCAGTATCATAAAAACAAAACAAAATACGCAGTCTGTCTTATAGTGGTATTTTCAAAGTTGTTAAATGTATCCACTTTAAATTGGAGAAAACAGCCATCTAAATGTTAACAAGTCTCACATYGCTATTGTTTCTTTTAGAGCAGTAAGTAGTGGCTTGATAACAAGATTCTCAAACATGGCCGAGAGCAGGCTAACCACTGGGTAATCTATATGCTTGTCATCCCAAAGGGAGAGTGACTGATATGACTTCTAATGGTCTTGTTTTCTATATAATATCATAGTGTCTTGTTAAATGAAACAAAATCTCATAATGAAGAAAGTAATGCATTTCCTTTTCTGGCTGCATTTCTTTTTCTTTAGAATAGTTTCTAGGACCAATGACTTACACAATAAAATGATTTTTGAAAATGCTCAAACTAGCTCTGAAAAGGAAACCAGCTCCTCCGTAATCAACAGAAACTCCCTGCCACAAACACATATCCTACAACTTTAAAAAAAACAAGAAACGAAGAGGGTCCTTAATTGCCTACAGACAAATTCATGCTCTCTCCAATCTTCTGGGTACTGCTCCCTCATATTCTTTTGAATCTGGGACTCCCCTTGTTTGCAAATGCATATTTGATTTACTGTCAAACACAATCAGGTTTTTGAATATTGTTCCGAATTTTGTGTTAGTGTGAGCATAGGCCCTTCCTCCAGTGAAGATCACAGAGTCACTCCTGGAAGCCCATGGTATATGTACCCACTAGCCTCTCTTGCACATAAAGGAGAACCTGGGAAACCTGAGTGTTGGGAACTGAGCTGAAGTAGTCACCTGGCTTCATTCACTCTGGTGGTCACTTTCCTCATTTCTTCCCGCTTGCAGATCTTTAGTAAAAGATAAAAGACACATTTCAAAATTCAAAATGGTGTTTCCCCCAACAGTATTTCCTCTACTGATCTCTGGAGGCTGGGGTGGAACCCGCTGTGGGCCCCTGGCAGCCTGTGCCTGGGTCTGTCATGGTCAGCACTCACTCTCCCTCAGATCCGTGAGTTTCCTTTTGAGTGGAGATTGGGCTGCTCCAGTGGGACCTCCTGTCCCTACACGAGGCCTGCAGAGAAGAGAACTTATTTCACGTTGCACTCAGTCCAAAGGCCCTGCTAGAAGCCGTGCCCGATCCTTCGCATGGTGCCACTATGCCAGGGCAGACTGAGCTGGCTGCACATGCACACTGTGCGACCTGCTGCAGTAGAAACGCACTTCACACAACACATGTGCTCTAACTTGTGCTCAGCTTTGCTTGGGGGTCAACAGAGGAGATCTTAGTACTGTCCTTTACCAAGTGGGTAGTGCTCCTCAAGTGTCCCTCAAATGTGGATCCTCTGACATTGCAGGTGGTCTCTCCTGATGAGTCATCTTCTTGGTCTCTAACCACTAGAGGAGTGCTTGGCATGATGGTCCTCAAGAAATGTTTGTAGAGTGAACTGGATGAATAATAGATACCTTTTTCATTTATCTATCTTGGCTATTAAAATCTCAAGGCTATGTTAAGATTTCAACTGCAACTGTTTCCTGTTTTTCTGCTAATAATTCTTTATGTTCAAATTTTTTTGATTTTTTATTTGGAGCTTCTRGTTTTATAGTTTTTTTAACCTCTGTCCTGTTTTTAGAAATAGCTTGTATAAAAATAGTGGACAAGATAGATAAGGTTTTCCATCACCAGAAACCCCCCTGCAGGGGAGAACACCAACTATTTGGAGGACATCCCCTGATAGCGTGGAACCTGCAGCCTGCTCCCACAGGTATCTGAAGCCCCTTTGCACTTATGCCTGAGGGGAAGTGTCCAGCGGGAAAGTAGAAATAAGGAAAGTTGGTGGGAGAGTGACTTGAGRCCAAATGGAGCTTTAATGATGACACAGAATTCAAGCCCTTGAGGAGAGGGCAACTTTCAAAGATGACAGAGGGAAAGCTGGCTTAAGAAAAACTGGCTGTGTGCACCTGCGGGCCTCGGAAAGACCAGACTGGGGAAAGGCCAAGAGATCTGGGGACTTGGAGCAGCTGTGTAACTGTGGGGCAAGTCCCTTCACCACTTTGAGTCTCAGTTTCTTCACTTATAAAATGGGGCTCTGAATGGTGCCTGCATCATATGGCTGGCATCTTGTGGGCATGGTAGACTTCCACTCAGTGGCTTGCTCAGCAGACAGTGACCCTCCCCTTCTCCAGGCTCAGATGGACAGAAGTGAAATGTGAGTGAGATGTCTGCGTGGCTAAGAGTGGCAGGCACTCATTTTGCATCTCTCAAAAGGTGTAAATATACATCCAAGAAAATGGTCTCATTCCTTCCCCCCCCCCAGAAGAACAGATATGAAATACAACAGAAGGATGGTCCCAAACTTGTTGAGGAATGTAACATTTCATCATGCTAACTTTCACCCTGTCTGCCAAGACAAACACAAACTTGAGTGAAGTGACCAGGACAYGGGTCCCTGCTGGGGGAAAGCAGTAATATCCAGATACCCTGCTTCCCAAGTTAGCCCAGCTGGTAGAGCTTAGAAACTCTAAGCTCTGGAACCATGATGGACAGAGAACCCACAGTGATTTTTGCTGTGATGGGAGGGTCCTTTCATTCCTAAGAGGTGAATAATGTCACAAAAACTCAAAAGACTCACCAGGGCTTGTAGCTTAGGACAGTGAATGGAGAGCTGGATGAGCGTGCTGTCGGTTATCTGGAGAGAAACACGCTGTGTCAGTGTAGCTTCTACACCAGAACTTAATACCTAATCCTGGCTTCTCCTGAACATGGAAATCAAAAGGTGCAAAAGAGAATTAAAAACTCATCCAGGCATACTCCGGCTGGAAGCTCCTGTCTTTACCAGCAACCTCCAATCTGCCCACTCCTGGAGATGCACAACTGTAACAGTTTGGTCTCCCTACGGTGCCCTAAAAGGGACTTAGGGGAAAAGAACAAAGAGGGAATGGGCAAGAAGTATTCTCTCTAGAGTCATCCCATCGCTAGATATATCAGTGTATTTCTCTCTCAAGTTCTGTGAAAAATAAGAGGAGACCTTGTTTTTTATGTCTGGCAAAAGATGAAGCCATCTTGAATTTCTTTGCTATAACTCTGCCTGTTGACTGCAAGTAGCCAAAAGTTTACATATCCCACTGCCATGGCCCTAATGAGTTCCCAAGTCCCACTGCCTATACTGGGCAAAAAGGGTTGGGACAACAGGCAGTCTATGTCCCTAGCTGTGTGATGCTACTAGCAGTAATTGAGGAGCAGCCCTCAGGGCTCTTAGGGTTCCACTCACCAGGATGCATTCTTCCAGATCCATCTTCTCCAGGTCATGGCAATTCTGAAAGGGTACACAAGACATGCCCTGCTGTGTAGGCAACACCTGCAACTTACCTGTCCCCCTGAGTATGAACCAAAGTCCTTGGTTCTTTTCCATTAAGGGGTATGGTCTGTTCCCGGAGCTACTCAGTGAACCAGCATCTCTGAGCTTGTGCCCTTTGAGTCATAGTCACTTTGAAAATGGAAATAGGGCTGCTCTGGCAGCATTTTCTTCTCTCAACCTGAAAAGGCACTTTCCCAGTGGTTCAGACATTAGCAGGAAAATTTTAATCATAGGCCAGGCTCTGGGAGGACAAGGAATGAGGAGCTCAGCCACACTGGGGAGGTGGGTGGGGTTGACGGTAGGGTAGGAAGAAGAATATATCAGCATCCCCTGAAGGACACTGGCTCCTTGCAACAAGCCCAGAAAGGGCCTCATAGTGACCTTGGTGGWCACTGTGGCAGACAATGTAGAAAACGGAGCAAGCCCAGCCTAGTTAGGGGATGCTGGAGAGAGGCCAACTGGGGTCTGTGTAGGAATGGCATCTCTTACAGGAGAAGAAGCTCCTCTCAGGGCGGCCTCACCTGTTCAAGTGAGAAGGAGGCTTGGGCCCTTTCCAGAATCCTCTATCTTCCTAGATTTCTGGCTAGCTGAAAAAAATGTAAAACTTACCCCAAGGATCCTACTTGGCTTTGTGCTCGTCTTTTCTGAAGCTAATTTCTGCACACCACACAACCACCCCAGGTCACTTTGAATTAGGACGGTGAATTACAGTTGTTGTTTAAAAATCTATGCCTTACCCGAGCTAAAAGTGTAAAGCCTGCATCAGTCAAATGGGAGCATCGGGCAGCCTCCAAAATTCTGGGAAGGGGACATGCAGGGGAGAAAAAAGTACCAACAGGTTAACAATAGAAACATTATGCTCCGCTGCACACTCTTGATGTTGTTCTGTTCTTTGACACTTTGCCTCTGTCAATCACTCTAAGGGTTGTAAAACTCAAAGACGGTTCCAACTTAATAGATGAGGGCCTGCTTGAGGGTTAGGGAGGACCTGTCCAAGGCCCTAAAGTCTCATCCCAAACTCCCATAGTAAATCCAAGAATCTTCCCCACAACCACATTGTTGGTTTTGAAATAATACTCTAATATTTAGTGACTTATTTTAAAAGTTACTAAATAAAGGACTGGGGTTGTAGCTCAGTGGTAGAGCACTTGCCTAGCCTGAGTGAGGCACTGGGTTTGATCCTCAGCACCACATATAAATAAATAAATAAATAAATAAATAAATAAATAAATAAATAAAATAAAGGTCCATTGACAACTAAAAATATATTTTAAAAATATTGCAGTTCATTTAAAAAATAAAATACAATTAAAATTAATTTGTATGTAACAAAATCATATTACAATATATTCATTGAAATTCCAAGTTACAGGAAATTTAAAACAATTATAGGCAATGAAAAACTGAGTCGATTTTTGGTGAGGGACACAGTGGCACATTCCTGTTATCCCAGAGACTTGGGAGGCTGAGGCAGGGGGTGGGGATATAGCTCAGTGGTACAGCACCTCTGGGTTCAATGCCCAGTACCACACACACCTACATACATATAATTCTCAATTATTCATGCTTAATAGGAATGAATGCATGAATAACATTTCTAAGTTAACAATAATTTTAACCTGTTCTCTGACCAGGGTTGTTTTTGGTCTTTTGTTGTTTCTGTGCTAGGGATTGGACTGAGGCCCTAATGCATTTTAAGTGCATGCTCTGCCACTGAGCTTCATCCCTAGTCCTCTGACTAGTTTTGACCACCCAAATTCCTTCTATGAAGCAGAAATATCAAAATTATCTAGAATCTTTCTTAATAAAAAAATCCAAATACAAAATAAATGATTCTTAAAAGTTACATAACTGATATGAGAAATGGATCCGCTTCACTGTCATATAAAAAGTTAAAATAATTTTTCTGCCTCTTGTATGCAGATTAGGATTGCTAGTTTGAAAGTCAAACCCTAAGTCCAAATTCTATCTTTACTTCTTAATCATCATGTGACCCAGGACAAATTATATGACTTTCCTCTGTATCTGTTTCTCCTCTGCAGAACAAATGAGAATAGTGGTAACTACTCAGAGATGTATTGAGGATAAGATATCACTCATAAAGACACCTGGCACTGAGCCAGGAACGTAACATGAGTGCAAGATTAGCCCTAAGTAGTTTTCATATGCACAGCTGGTAGCAATAATGTGTTGCCTTGAGAATCAGAAAATAAATTATTATTTATTGAAACAGTTGGGTGTGGTGGTGCACACCTGTAATTCCWGCAACTTGGGAGGCTAAGTCAGGAGAATTACAGGTTTGAGACTAGCCTCAGTAACTTAGTGAAACCTTGTCTCAAAAAATAAAAAGGGTAGGGAATGTAGCTCAATGGTAAAGCATCCCTGAGTTCAATCCCCAATGCCAAAACAAAACAAAAATCTCCCCTTCTTCCTGATGGGGAAAATGAAAAATAAGAAGCAATTATGATCTTTTCCCCTCAYTGTGCCTACTTAGCAACAGGTTTAAAGGAGACACTGGGAACATCTGGACCAAGGCTACTGCTCTGCTCGACATCAGATTACTCTGGTGTTTGAAGAGATTAACAGGTGAAGCAAATTGGTGGTGGTGGTTGGAATGTGTGAACTCATCAAGAAACACAATTCAGATTCATTGGTGCTAGCCATTTCACACTCTGCTGGTGCCCACCTCAATGAACTGGGTTACACCCTGCCCCACCACCGTCCACCCAGCAAAAACACAACTCCTGCCTCCCCTACCACCTGTTCCCCTTGCTCCATCCTTCTCCTCCTTTGGGTCAGCCCAGGCAATCTCTGAGCTGCATACTCACTGCAGTCTTGGGCAGTTCAGACCCAGGGCTGTAAGAGACGCATCAGTGAGGTTGCTGCAACCCGAAAGGCAGAGGGCCTGCAGCCGGTGGCAGCCCCTGCATATCTGCACCACGCCTTCATCCGTGATGCGCTGTGGAAAAGCAGTGCAGGAAGAAGTCAGAGGACATCAGAACTCGACAGGAGCAACAGAAAAATGGGATCTGCTGTTACTTGGTTGTCAGTTACTAGCACTTCCTAACAACTTAAAATAAGGGCAGATATGTATTTGCATTAAAATATTCTAGCATTACTGATGGAGAGTAAAAACTTTAAATTCTATTTCTACCCCCAGGATTCATCAAAATAGATATAGATTAGACTCCCCCACCCACGAAAAATTCTTGATTATAAAACATAAAACTTGCCTAAGTGACATTAATATTTGATTGAACATCTACAAATTAATGCTTTAGTCATTTGCCATATAAATCACATATATACAAACAATATTTCCTCAAATGTTTTAAAGATAACAAATCAGTTATTTAAAAATGCCTTAGAATTTTGTTAGTTTAGCCATAAAGATTCCATATAACTTAAATGCTCTAATTCATATAGAAATAAATTGCACATCTACATTGTATCTTGAGCCACGTGTCATTTGARTAGTCCAGGCCCACAAAGTCAAGACTGGTCCAGAAGATGGTTTGTTTTCTGTCCCACCATCAGGGACTCTAAAGATTTAGTATTCATTCATTAAAGATCAAATGCAAGGGCTTTTAAGAGACAGAACTCTCTCAGGGTCTACATGCCCCTTGAGGAACCCTGTAGCCTACTGAAGACACACTCTGTACTTCTCAGCATTTATAGTGGCAGTGAGGAAGGGCCAGCAGGTTTGCACAGGCTATATGCCCTGATGAAGATGAAATGCTACCTTGCTCTTGCATACGTCATTTATTTTTCTAGGCATTTTCACATCTGCTATTTCATTTTTTCTCCTGAAATATTACAGTTGCCATTACCCCCAATTTATAAGTTGAAAAAAAAAACACTGAGTTCTTATAATGAACTATTCAGGTCTAACAATTAGTTAGTGACTAGTTCACAGTATTTTTCTCTTTTTCTGTACTGGGGATTAACTGWGCCACATCCCCAGCCCTTTTGAGACAGGGTCTTGTTAAGTTGCTTGGAGTTGATAAATTGTTGAGGCTGGCCTTATATGTGCAATCCCCCTGCCTCAGCCTTCCAAACTTCTAGGATTATAAGCATTCACCATTGTGCCTGGTTAGTTCATGGCAACTCTGATACTTTACTCAATACTCTATTTTTTTTTAATCAAGACTTGATTTATAGTACTTCTAGGGGAGATGTTGGTGGCTCAGTATTGAGGATGATGCCTTGTTCTTTTATCTCATGGCAAAGTGACAGATCCTACGAAGACACAGGATGAAAAGCCAGAGTGCAGGTCTGGCAATGTGACTATTTGCCAGCCATCTCAGCTGCAGTGGATGTTGTGCAGTGAGGCCCAYAGCAGATTTCTGGGGGGAGAAAATGGAGCAGGGCAGTGCTCAGGAAAGGCATGCTACTTACTGAGCAGGACTGTAAGTTGAGGCTCACAAGCTCATGGCAGTAATTCTGAATGTGCTTCAGAGCTTCATCTTCTAACTAAGTGGACACAAAAAACAGAAGAGGGATGAAGTCTTGGTAAGGGAACAAGTGGGACACCAGGAAAAATGCAACAGCAAGTTAGTTCCCTGATGTGTGAGAAAATCAGCTGCATGAACATTTTTGGTACCTGTGTGCAGCCCCTCAGGAGCAGGGCTTTTAGGCCTTGACAACCCCGTACCAGTGCCTCGATGCCATCCTTTGTGATCTGATCACACCAAGAGAGGTTCAGATACTCCAGATTTCGGCAGCCCTCACTGAGAGAACAAGAAACAAAACGCCCCTGTGTACTCCTGTAGACAGTTATTACCGACTTTGAATATAGTACATCATGAGCAATTCAGTGAGTGAGACAGCCCCCATAACCTGTCTGAGCCATCATCTGTTCCCTGCTCTAGTGGGACCATTAGGAAGGCTTCATCAGGAAGATACATCAGAATGTTCACTGTTTGGGTATTTTCTAGACCACAAACAATGGGTGCTCCTACCTGATGCCCTTTAAGGAGCTGTTTGTAATAGACACACAGGAGGTCAGGTCCAGGTGTTTCAGCTTGGAACAGAATCTGCTAAGGCTATAACACGTGCTGGAAAAGAGCAGATGCACTAAAGATATTTTCAACCATGTTTCTCTCCCCTCATTCACCCGGCAGCCACTTTATCCCTAAACTAATCCTCATTACTTACCTGTCAGTGATTTTTGTGCACCCATTGAGGTTTAAATGTTCAATGTTTCGGCAGTTCTGTGCAAAGGTCCTAAAATGAGAAAATATTTTAAAACTTCCTGGGTTCTCAGCACCATGTATAAACAAATAAATAAATAAAGGTCTATCAATAAGTAATAAAAATTAAAAAAAAAAAAACCTTCCTGCAAGTTGCTGGCCAGCCACTAGAGGGCACAGGTACCATTTCCTTAAAACAGTGCTTCTCAAATTTCAATGCATATGAAACAGCTAAGCCTTTCATCACAGTGCAGATTCTGATGGTAGATGTGGCTCTGTAGTACCAAGAAGCTCCCAGTGATGCCACTGCTGCTAGTCTGGGACCATGTAAGAAGCAAACCTCTAGACTGACTTTCTATCCACCAACTGTCCTTCAATCTTGGTGAGTCATCTGAGAATGGAGGCCTGCTTCTTACTCCTTCTCTTCTATAGAAAAATCAATTTGCAAAAAGGGGGCAATTGTTTCTTGTATTATGTCATGTTATCATTTGGTTAAGCTAGGGCCTTTCTGGAGAAATCATCTATGGCCCTGGAGAGGTGTCAGTAGTTGATACTGGTATCGAGTGATGAAGGGCAACTTCCTCAATGATCTGTGGGCTAGTAACATGTTAACTGCTTAACATATTCAGCAAGGACTGGCTCAGGTCACCTGTGTCTTCTGAAATACAGCTTCAATATGTCTTATAGGATTGAATCCTGACTCTCCCGTGCAGTACCCAAAGGCCTCAAAAGCAGATRTTACCTTATCTACTCCTTCTGACCTGCCAAGGGGCAACCAAATTGGAACCTGATGGATTCTCTTGAGATGAGGAGCTGAAAGTCTAGGAAGCCCACAGTGACTACAGTTATCACAGAAGAGTACTACTAGAGTGGAGATCTCCAGGATCTGCAGAGGGCGCTGCTTGAGAATTCAATAGAATACAGATCACCATATGGATACAAGGAAACAAGTCAAGCTGGGGGGCGGGGAGGAAGATTAGCTAACAACATTAAAGAGAACAACAGTCAGAGCTCACCCAGGGTAAGGAACAGTGGTCACTTCCACCAGCCTGGTTAAAAAAAAATGTCATAATCCATGGGGCAATGGATAGAGTACTGAGAAGAATCTTGCTTCAGGAGACTAATTAGACCTAGGCTAAACACTGCTTTGGTCCAACCTAAAAAAAAATCTCTCTTTTTGCAGTGCTGGTGATTGAACCCAGGCCTTGTACATGCCACGCAAGTGCTCTACCACTGAGCTATACCCCTCAGTTCCAAAACTAACAAATGTTAAGAATAAGACCAAGAAAGAACTATTCCTAAGCGAGGGAACTGCATCCCAGAACAAAATTCAAAAGAGTATTAATAGGAGTACAAATATGTCCTGCACCCAAAAAAGTAAAATTTGCAATGTCTGGTACTGAACAAAAAATTGTCAAGCTTTTAAAGGAGGAGGAAAATATGTCTACAACAAAGAGAAAATTCATTATATCAAAACGTATTACAAACTGACAGCAGAAATAGCAAAGATATTGAAAGCTATTATAAATGTTATTACAYAGAATTCAGTTCTATGAAGCTAAAGATTAAATGTTATGCAGAAGCTTGAAAGATATTTTTTAAAAGACCCAAATTAAACTTTTAGATATGAAAACCACAAATGGCTGAGATAAGAATCTACTAGATGAGATTAACAGCAGATTGTACATGGTATATGAAATGATTAGTGAACCTGACATAGCAATAGAAACTATCCAAGATAAAACATGGAGAGAAAAGAAGAAAAAGATCAGAGCATAAATGAACTGTAGGACATCTTTAAGCAACTTAATAGACATGAGACTGAAGTTCTTAAAAAGGAGGAGATAGCCAGGCATAGGCTTGTAATCCCAGAGACTCAGGAGAATTATAAATTTGAGGCCAGTCTCAGCAATTTAGTGAGGCCCTACACAACTCAGCAATACCCTGTCTCAAAATAAAAAATAAAAGAGCTGGAGATATGGCTCAGTGGTTAAGGCCCCTGGGTTCAATCTCATGAAAATAGAAGGGAGATCAATGGAGTAGAGGAATGGGGTAGAGGGAGAAGGAAAATGGAGGAACTACAGAATAAAAATTGAACAAACTATGCTATGTACATACACAACTATACCACAGTGAATTTCACCATTATGTGTATCTACATAACACCAATTAAAAAGAACAATAAGTAGAAGGAAGACCAGCAGARGAAGGGAAACAGAGGATGGGAGGAGTGGAAAGAGGAAGTACTRGGGACTAGAATGGAACAAATTCCATTCCATGCATGTACGTCAAAATGAAACTGCTATATATAGTATAATGCACTAATAAAAACATTTCTAAAAAAGAAGTAGCAAGGTTAGAACATGTGAGGGCAACGTGCAAGTGCAAGGAAAACTGGTGGGGAATTGTGTAAATTCCACCTCTAGTTCAGTCCCTTGCTATCTCTCTATAAATGTCAAATTCCAGACCCAAAAGCGGCAATTCTCCCGTTCTGAACTGAGTTTGCCAGCACCTCCAGTCTAGACTGTGTACTTTCCCCATTATAATAAGTTTCTTGCTCTGCTACTCAAACCTGATACATCCTTAAATCTTTTCTGTGACATGGGCAAGAGCCTGAAAGGTCTAAGACCCACAGACAGTGACAATGGAAAACTGGTCTGTGATGCATAAGGGAACAAAAGTCACTTTCCATTTAGAACCGACAAGTTAGGAAGCCAGCTGTGAGAAATGGGGTTTTCATATCTAAAATCATATACTATATATACTATATATATATCAATTATGATATATATACACACAATTATACTATATATAGCATGGGGGTTCTGGAACATCAGACTCACGGGAAACTCATGCGTAAGACCCACTGCTGCCCAACCCCTTCAGTCGCAGATAGTCGAGACTGACTCTATAGCGCCTCCATGTTGTAGTTGTTTTTATTTGCTTATTACTGCATTTCCACTTCTAGTTTGTTTTTATTTTGTGGTTGTTACTTTGTTTTCTTCTTTCTGATTACTGCTGGGAATCAACATTAGCACCTTAAGGACGTCGAGTGGGTACTTGGCTGCAGAGTGGCATCCCCAACGCAGTTGTGAGAAACTGCAACTCAATCTAGACATGTCCTTGACTTTCTAGAACCTTGGCAGATACTTCAACTTAAAGATGGGGGAGATAAGCCTCCAGTAGATGATGTGGCACCAAGTAGGCACAGAGGAGGCCTGAAGTCCCATCACAGCCATTCACTCCCACAGCAACAGCAGAGAGAAACAATGCAACAGCTGGGGATACTGCACCTATGAGTGACGTCAGCATAGGCTGTTCCCATACCCTCCCGTATCTTTTCAGGCTGCTGGCAAGATTGGATGACTATGTAAAAAGAGTAGAACTCCTATACCCTGCTGCCTACAGCACACCTGCCTGCACTTCCAGAGGGTCCTCATTCTTGGGAGATGTACAGGGAAGTGGGTTACTTAGGTTCTAATACAGCACACATGCCAAAACACAACATGCAAGCCAAAAGCCATAGGAAAACTACAGTAAGAAATAAGAAGTCCATTCATAATGAAACAACACTACAAAACAAACTGATTTTCTTGGGCACAATATAAAAAGAAGGCTGCTCCCTAACAAGCCCTTCACATGAAAATGGAAGTGATTTCCATTTCAATATATGTGTAGATCTCAACATAGAACACAAGAAATGTGAAAAAAAAAAAAACCAACAAGGCAATGTGACTCCACCAAAAGTTAATAACTCTTTAGTAACTGATTCCAAAGATGCTGTACAAGAATTCAAAAGAATGGTTTTTTAAATGATCAATAAATTCAAAGAGGTTACRAACAGTTGAATAAACTAAGGAAAATATTATAGATTATGAAAGAGCAACTTAATAAAGAAACATAGATTCTGAAAAAGAACCAAATAGAAATACTGGAAATGAAAAGCTCAGTAAGTCCAATTATAAACTCAGCAGAAAGCTGCACCAGTAAACTAGATCAAGTAGAAGAAAGAATATCAGGCATTAAAAATAAAGTTGAAGACGGGCACGGTGATGCACTCCTGTCATCCCAGCAGCTTGGGAGGCTGAGGCAGGAGGATCACGAGTTCAAAGTCAGCCTCAGCAAAAGCGAGGCACTAATAAGCAACTGAGTGAGACCCTGTCTCTAAATAAATTATAAAAAAAAATAGGGCCGGGGATGTGGCTCAGTGGCCAAGAACCCCTGGGTTCAATCCTTCAATCCCCAGTATAAAAAAAAAATACAAAATAAAGCTGATGAATTATCACATTCTGATACTAGTAAGGAAAAAATTTAAGAATGAAAAGAACATACAAGATCTATGGGACACCATTAAAAGACCACACTTATATATACTGGGAACAGATGAAGGACTTCAGGTATAGGCTAAGGGTATAGAAAACTAATTTAAAGTAATAAGAAGCAGAAATTGTCCCCATTTTTGGGAAAGACATGGGAATCCAGGTACAGGAGGCATTTAGAACTCTATAAATAGACATAACCTCAAAAGAACCCCTAGTGCAGAGTCAYATCTAAAGGTAAACCCACTAGAATGACAGCAGATTTCTTAGCAGAAACTCTAATGGCCAGGAGGACATGGAATGATGCATGAAGCCCTGGAGGAGATGGGGGAACCCACCAACCTTGATAACTATATCCAGCGGTCAATCTCCAACACCGAAGAAGAAATAAAGACCTTAAAAAAATAAGCATAAATTAAAGGAATTCATGATTACTAAAACAAGCATTATAGAAGATACTTGAAGGAATCCTGTACATAAAAGAGGAAGCAAGACAAACAAAATCATAGAAAAGAATAAATCTTACTAGAAGAGAAAACCAGTAAATGAGAATTAGTAAGGATTAGTTACTTCTAAGATGAATAATGGAAAAAGAAAAGAACATAGATCATTCAAAACAACAAAACGACAGGAATTAGTACATATCTTTTAAAAATAACCCTTAAGGTAAATAAATGGTCTTAATTCTCTAATAAAAAGATGCAGACTGGATAGA